CAAAAAAGGGGGTATTTCAAACCCAATTTGTAAATAAATTTGAGACCAAAAATTACAAAAGTGGGTGTTAAAATAATGTGTAGACCCTTGGCTACAAGTGTGTGGAATTTTTGTTGGATCGGGCCACCCCTTTGGATGGAATAGCCCGAAATAGTTGGGGGCGCTACTAAACCCCACCCTAATAGCGCAAATGAAATGTGAAATAAAGTGACAATACTAGCGATTCTAGATTATAAAAATTTTGTCAAACGCAAAGTTTGTTTACTCTGTTTTATTAGTGAAATATATGAAATAGTAGTGAATAAATGATATTGTTTTAATAAAACAATAACGGGAGACGTTTTGGTAGTGGTAAAAAAGCTAGAAGAGGTGATGTAGCGAATTTTTGTCGGGGTAATTGCCCATACAAAACAACGAAATTTAACAAAAGTTTTTAGTTAATAACTTTTAAATGGTTAATAATATTAACCTTCCGCCCCCGGATTGTTAATACGGGGAGCGAAACGCGTCGATTCATACCCCTCTCGACATTTCCGGACCTTTTTTAGCAGTTGTTGCCCTAAACTAGTGAGTTACCGCCAACAATTCCCAAACCTATTAATGAATCATGGGATCAGAGCTATTGGGACATGACTGTCACGACATCAGCGTTTCCCTATGGAGATAGGGCCTTTGAAATCTGAACTCGTACTAAAACTCGTAGCAAAAGAACCCGTACAACTCTCGTATCAAAAGAACCCATACAACACCCGTATTGTGTGGCGATATTTACTCCAGATAAAAATTTTTCTGCGTACCACCAACCTTAATGTTGTCAGTTGGGTATCCGTAGATTCACGCTGTGCTTGTTGAAAATAAGATAGACGAACTGAACGCTGCTCCCTCAACTAGAAATGCATGGAAATTCGTGAAAGCACTAAGAGGCGACTTTAAGAACACAAACAACTCACAGTGGTCTAGCGACAACAACAAGAACAAGAACTTCTTAGCCCTACTCAAAAGCCAAGTTCCGTCTCACAACTCCCATTTACCAATTGATAAAGAAGTAACTCCCACCCACGCCCTAGCAATCACCTTTGACGAGTTGCACAAGAACATACATTCCAAAAATAATAGTTCAGCCGGAGGGGTAGACCTAGTTACATATAAAATGTTAAAAGCTCTACCAGATGTCTCACTTAACAACTTGCGAACTGCATTAAACGATGTCTTCCTGACAAACCAGATCCCAAAAGAGTGGCGCACCATTAAAGTAGTACCCATCCCTAAAAAAGATAAACACCTTAGTGATTTCAGCAATTTTCGACCGACAGCCCTCATCTCAGTCTTTCTTAAGTGTATCAACCTTTGCATAAAGGACAGAATATCTAACCACCTTGAGGAAAATGACATAATTCCTAAACGATCCTTTGCGTACAGACCGCATAAATCAGCCACAATCTGCGTCAACTATATATTACATGAAGCCGCAGTCCTTAAGCGACAAGGAAAAAAAGTAATCATATGTTCCTCAGACATCAGCAATGCGTACAACTGTGTTAATATCAGTAAGCTTAGGGACATCATGGTCCAAGCAGATATCCACAAGGCATACACTGAATGGATAACCAACTTCCTTTCATTTAGAAAACTGAAACTTGGTAGAGAAACCATAGAAATCCATGATGGTCTTCCTCAAGGTAGTTACCTCTCACCATGTCTTTTTAATCTATACACCAAGAACCTTCACAGTATTCAGGACTCAAACACTTAAATATACCAGTATGCGGATGATTTTCTGATCATATCATTCCATGACAGTCTAGAGCAGGCAACTGCGAATTTATGTCGCAAACTAAATGACTTCGCCTCCCAATGTTCCACTCTCAATCTGTCCTTCAACGCGGACAAAACCAAGTTGATGCTTTAAGGCAGAGGCAAGCGCACGATAATAAACGTTCAATATCATAACTGCACAATTGAACAGGTACACACCATCAAGTTTCTTGGAAGGCACATTAGTGCTTCATTGTCTGTTCAAGAGCATTACACCGACACAATCCAAAAATCTTATAGAAACGCCAATCTTTTCAAATACATCACTACAATCAAAGCTGGACTACATCCCCACTCTGCATGCTAGACACAGCAGGCAAAATGATGGAGAGTCTGCTCAAAATACGCTTGACGTCAGCCATAGAAAGCGAGGGAGGCCTTTCACCCCGACAACATGGCTTCAGGAAGGGACACTCAACTATAGGAGCAATTGGCGAAGTAGTCGAGGCGGTACATAAGGCCGAAGAAGCCTGCCACCAGGCGCGGCCAATAGTGCTGCTAGTCACACTGGACGTCAAGAACGCCTTCAACTCGGCAAGATGGGACGATATGCTGGAGGCCTTGGAACGGTCATTCAAGGTTCCAACATACTTGCTAGATATGATCCGGGACTACCTCAGAGACCGTTGGCTTTTGTACGACACAACACAAGGCCAGAGAAAGAGACGTATAACCGGCGGAGCGGCACAGGGGTCTGTACTTGGCCCGGACCTCTGGAACGCCACGTATGACAGTCTGTTGCGCACGGAAATGCCGGAGAGCGCCTTCCTTGTCGCCTTCGCGGACGACGTGGCAGCCGTCATAACAGCAAGAAATGTCCAGCTAGCACAGCTCAAGCTAAACCAGGTCATGCGCAACGTCAGTGGATGGATGAGCGATCACGGTCTGCAATTGGCTACAGCCAAAACGGAGATCGTGCTCCTCACCAGGAAACGGATCCCAACAATTATAAATATAATGGTCGGACCTCAACCCGTGACGACTTCTAGGTCTACAAAATACCTAGGGGTGAAGCTGGACAGCAAACTCACATTCTGGGAACACATCCATGGAGTATGTGAAAAAGCTGCGCAGAGCACGGCGGCTCTAAGCCGGCTGATGGCAAACGTGGGCGGCCCGAAGCCATGCCGCAGGAAGCTTCTGATGACAGCGGTCCAATCGGTGCTCCTGTACGGGGCAGAAATATGGGCTGACGCATTGAAAGTCAAAAAATACCGGGTTCAAATGTCTTCGGTACAGCGCAGAGGGGCACTACGCATTGCTTCTGCATACCGTACAGTGTCCGCGGACGCGGTTCTAGTTATTTCTGGCGTCATGCCAATTGAGCTACTTGCTTACGAGCGAAAAGAGATTTACAATCTCAGTGCCGAGATAGGTCGAGCAGCTGCCGCGGCAAGGGCGCGCGAGCAACTGATCCAGCAGTGGCAACAAAACTGGAACGCGAGCACAAAAGGTCGATGGACACACTCCCTGATAGCCGACCTTCAAACATGGCTGAACAGACCACATGGGGAAGTCGATTTCTACCTGACGCAATTCCTCACCGGTCATGGTTACTTCCGAGAATATCTTCATAGAATGGGAAGGGTGGACTCACCGTTCTGTCACTACTGTGGAAACGTCGAAGATAACGTGTACCACACATTCTTCACCTGCGAACACTTCTTGATTTCGCGCAGAATGTTGGAAGAAAGACACGGAGACATTACTCCGGACAACATAGTTGGGATAATGATTTCCAGCGCAGAAAAGTGGGAAGCAGTTGCGAGATACGTGAAATTCGTACTCCGCTGCAAACGAGAGGACGGTTGTCTACTGAGGACACCCGAATGAAACGCCCCTACAAAAGAGCAGCCCCAAGGCTCTAACAGCGCGCTCCTGCATCTGAAGACATGCAGAATTGCGGTGCCAGATGCGGGATTCTTGCGCGGGCGGTGGGAGTTTGGGTTTTAGTGGGTAGCCCAACACGCTTCGGTGGGAGTCCCACACTCGGGGAAGGGGCGGATCGTGAACGGCCTACTCCGATAGGTTAGCTGCGAATAACCAATAAGCAGTCCCAGACCAAGAGCGGCAGGAGACGAGGGCCTGATTTAAAAGATCAGAAATGCTTGATGAATCTCCTGTGTCCGGGCGAACAGATGCCGCCCCCCCAAAAAGCATCCCAGGATTGAGACCAGTTAGATCCTGTTCATGGCATACTGGAGCATGTATACGATTAGTCTGACATTGGGCTGGCGAGAGCAGTATTCCGCCACTTTAGTATGTGAGGGTGACACCTCACAGAAATGGCTGGTGGGCTAATGCTGCGATCGCCTCCGTCTCGTTAAAACCCTGGCAGGTCTTCAAGTACGTTCAATACACGTCGCCATTTAGTTGGCCGCACAGGTCCAGTTGAGATTTACTCCTGGTTTTGCGCTGTCTTGGCTCTGAACACAATATCCCATAAGGACTTGTGTCAACCCTCGCGATGGCCTGCTCCTTTGAGAGAAGGGAACTTCGGGACACTTAAAAGCGACTGTGCTACGTGTGGAGATAGCGGCTTGAAGCGGAGACCCAATTGACTGAAAATGATTAAAACAAAACCAATAAACGAAACGAACGTCGATGATACGGAGGAAGAATGCAGCGCATTCAGGAAGAGCAGTAGAGTCGTGCGCTCCCCGCCACAAACTCCTCTGCAGGCAAATTCCGGCACCACGAGCACGGAGAAAGCCGCCGGCGTGGCGCAGAAGGCTACACCTTGCCAAACGGCAACTCCCGGCAGCCGGGATAGTCGTCTTCAAACGCCGGCT